CGGCCTCTGCGAAGAGACGGGGCGACGTCTCGAGCGGCCCGGCCGCAGCGGCGCCCCCACCGGCCCGCAGGGAGCCGGGCCTGAAGTGCCGAACTCACACTCCGATGTGAAAATGGTTAATAGATCTGGAAATCTAACATTACTTACAGACAGAAGCAATATGTATACGATGTATTATTTGCTTTTTTTTTTTTTTAAAAAAAAAGTCTTATGCGCAAGCTTCCTGCTACAGAATAGTGCTAACATGGATTTATTCTGCAGGTCAGGCTATCACTTGCATTTTGAGGCAGGAAGAGGTTAAAAACATAGTAAGACATAGCAGCCTTTAAATCCAAGTAATGCTCCAGTGCGTGTTTGAGACATATTTTATATATACATATATATATGCTTTACATAGACACACACATATATATGCATTGTGTTATGCTTTATATAGACACATATATATATATGCATTGTATATATACACTATGCATATTTACCTGGACACCTGTGCTGGGTTGCTGACACGTATTAGAAAACACCTTTCTTTCTACCTCTGCCTCTGTTGTGGGCAAAGGAACAAGCTCTGGCTATTGCAGTATATGAAAGTGCATGATTTCTTCCACTAAGGAGCAAAACGTGTTTGGATTTCCATGGCCTTGAAAACTGCAATATTACTGGCATGGCAGCAGTTGACAGGCCCTCGTTGCCAATTTAAAATAAATAGCAGTGATCCCCAGCTTCCCTGACATCCTGAATTATGTGCGACTTTATCCAAGCAATTACCTCCTCCCCTGTCTTTGATTCACAAATGAGCCAAAACCTTTGGAGACTTGTTTGGAAGGAGACAAGCTGCTCCTCATTTGCTGACAAGGAAGTTGTTCAGCTGTCAGGACTGTTCCTGTGAGCATTGCTAAGAACACATTCCAGTGAAAGGCCATCGCTGACAGGTGGCACAACAGGCAGTTGCTGTATTTGACCACGGATGAAGGTGGCTGACGTACAGAAGAAGGGCAGTTGCTACCAGTTCATTTCTGAGGTAACATCACATACAATTTTTTTTTGTCTTGGTTTCCCAAAAACCCTGCAGCTGCCGTTGTAGTTTTGCAGCAAATACAATATGTTATACCATGGAAAAACTGCTGTGAACTTAATTTCAACCATTTTTTTTTCTGGGAAATACAGAGTTGTCAAGAAGAATCATAGCTGAAGGTACCAACATGCAGACAAGTTCTCTGTTGCAGAGAGCGCCTTAGTCTCTGGCTAGAGGGAGGGCTCAGCGAGTTTCCATTGGTGTCCAAAGAGATGGCAATCACTGCTCTGTTATTTTCATCAGCTTCCCCTATAATAATGACGGTTTTAGTAGATTTCCTAGGATCATTAACTCCTCTGCTGTGCTGCTTGATTCGCTTCTTTCTTTTATTGACCCACACAGAGATTGAGAGCCCTTTAAACTATGCATATAAATGTAACAGCAAAATGTGGCCAGGTAAACATAGGTCGGGGTACTGTACCTGGGCTCAGTAGCAGGTTTGTTGCCGATCAGAGTTTTTATTTCATGCAACTCCACCAGCTTCATATCTGTTAAACTATACAAAGAATATATTTTTTAAAAACGTGGTTATATTTTTTGGTTATATCATACTCTTTCAGTTTACTCAGAATGCTGGAAAAGGAGAAGTATAGGTTAAAGCTTTCTCAACGTTGCAGAAAGTTCCTTGTCTCCTTGCTTTGTGCTGCTTGCAGAATCTCCAGGTTATCAGTTCACTGTAGCTCCGTTAGTGTAACCCCAAGGCAGATAAATCACAACTACAAGCTGAAACAGTGCTAAAGGGATATTTCCTCAAATCGCTGATGAACGCAAACCTGCACTGGCGAGGATTTTTCAAAATACTTGTTAGCACTAAGTACAAAATAAAAAATGTTAACCTCCGAGTGTCTCTGTGAACGAGAATCAATTTCCACAAGGCTGTTTCCTGCCAAGAATAGAAGGAGCAGACTGGGGCTGGAAGGAGCTGGCCTATATCATCCATATCACTCTCCTCTCCGTGGGCTCTCTGAACCGTGCTAGTTCTTCACCATCACTTCTTTAGATCAATAGAATTAAAATGAGAAGTAAAAAAAGGTGACAAATACAGAGGTGACTAATAGAGATAAAATGCTGGCCAGCAAACCTGAATACTTCTTCTAGCTAGAAAACTTATGTCAAAATTCTTCAGACAGATTTTTTGTTACCATATGCTGCTTGCTGGATGATAGTTCATAAATTTAAGCCTCTTGTCTTGTGATTAGGGAAAGCAGAAAAACAGACTAGGTGCTGAACTCATTTTTTCCACTACCGCTTTTTTCCTGACCCTCAATGCAAAAGAAATTCTGTGTAGCAGCTTTGTGCTTTGGTAGCTTTGCATGGCTGGGGCAGAAAAAAATTAAAAAGCTGACAAATTAGATTCCTTATATTTGCATGAAAGGAACAGTCTGAGCAGAAAGCAAAAATCTGAGACCTGGCTTCTAGAAGCAGCGCTGATGGGTGTGAAGAGTCCATTGCAAGGCAGACTGACCAAAAAAACCAAGCTCCGAGAGCAAATACTTACTTCGGTCCCACAGAGCTTGCAGCACCTTTGTCTTTCCAATATGCTCCATAGAAATGGGGTTTCTTGGCCCAGTACTTCCAGGCCTCACACAGCTTTTCTTAGCCCTTCTCAGAGAAAAAGAGATGTTGCATAATGCCTGTTACATGCATGGAAAACCCACTAACTGTATTTTCAAAACCTTCTTAAGGGTGCAGAAAATAATTTTGCAGAAGGTTGCAGAAGATGCTACCCTACAATAGTGACCTCAGCTTCATACCAATGGTAAAACTTGTAAATGAACTTCATCTTTTTAAATTAATAAGTAGCTTAAAATTCAAAGCAGCAATATAATGGAGCTGCAAAAAGGAGGGACACCCTCATACATACTAAGAGTAGGAATATGATGTTACCACAATCTTCATCCAAACTCACATGTCAGTGTTTCTTTCCATAGGAAAATTATAATGAGATAAGCTAAAAAAACTCCAAGATTTGTACCACTCCAGCACACTGAACAGTCAGTTGAGCAACTGAAGTGCTTCATGTGCACAGGCCAGGGAGGATGTACAGTTCATTTTTGAACACCCATACACCCATATATTCCCTGCCCTAAGCATAATATAGATATAACTAAGCTACATCAACAGCAGCTAAAAAGCTCTAGCATTTTGTAATGGCTCGGGGCTTTTCATCAACCACCCACTTCATGTACTCCAAGGCTGATAAACATTTGTACATTTACTTATCAAATGTGGGGGCAGGAAGAGGAACAGAGTAAGCAATCCTGTAGGAGCTGTGCAGACATGGAAGAGAAACTGGTAACGGAATAAAAAATAATACAGACCTGGCTCTACCTATGCAATGCTTGATAACTCTCAGTTTCTTGTTTGCCCATTAATTTGATGGCAACTTAGGCATCACAGAAGGCATCACAGAATCACCCTCAGCTCTCTAACAAGCTCTGCTACAACAGTGACAAAATGGGGATGTAATTAAAACGAGCGTTTATGGACAGTGTCTTTTGGCTTCCAAATGCAAGAGACATCTTTTGTTTTTTTTATCTGGCAGAAGAAGATCCCAGTATTTTCACAAAGACACCCTGAAATGATGTCAAGCTGAGAAGCTTGAGGGGAGGAGAGAAAAGGAAGTGGGGCTCTATCATGGAGCCTCAGACACGCAGGAGGCAGCCAGCAGGATACGGAAAGAGATCGAATCCATCATCTTTGAATTTAGCCACTGATCCCAGCTTAGTGCCAAATGCAGTTGTGTCTGTATGAGCCATATTGATGCATGCAGAACAAACAAGACTACATCTAACCTACCTCTGAGTAAGCTGGAATCCCATTCCCTGCTACCACCAGTGAAGCAGCACTGGTTTTAGCAGGTCATGGCATCTCCTTGCAAAATGGACATTAACAGTGACACTTCATAATAGACGACAGACCTGCCCAGAAAATGAGTTTGTTTTCACAAGGTAAGACTACCTTGCTCCAGAGAGGATGTTTTGCAGTCTGAGGGGTTTCCATAGTGGTTTCCTAAAGGAAAACAATTTCAAAAGCATCTACATAGATACATAAAATTCTCCAGTCATACCAAATGGTCATACATCATAAATCTTACATATATGCATTTTGTGCTTGATTTGAACTCTACCTGCGTGGCTACTAGGAAATTACCAATGTCTTGTTATACTCTTTCCTCTAGACTACGTTATCACTTCCGTCCTCCACCCCCAAAAGGAAAAACAAATAAAGAAACAAACCAAAAAGCTTTACAAACTTTAATCAAATCTGTTTCATATCCCCATACTAACATCTGAGTTGCTCTACCACTGAGAGCTATCATTGCTTTCAAAGGTGATATAAGTGTGTATATGCAAATACATGCAAAGGTATAAATATGTATATATACACGTATTTAAAAAAAAAAAAAAAACTTTGAGCAACTGCCCTCAGCCTGTTTAGCTTTGGACCTGCTGTTTCTACACCAGACTGGCGTGCATGCCCAAATCTTGCCCACTCTCTGCCAGTTTGTCTCCACTACAAGGCAATCCCCCTAGACAGAGGGGATACTCCACTTGATGCAATAAAGAGAATTAAGCAACCTCTTGTGGGCAAAATGAGTCTCTGATGAAGATTTTTAAAAACACCAGTCAATTATTAGCCAAGCTGCCAAAGCACTAATACTCTTTCCAAAGTAACCTTTGGCTGATGGACCTGTCCCCCCTGACACTCAAGCCCACAGACACCTCTCCTACCAACCAATCCCTGGAGCTCCGGGGATGGAGTCACGTGCAGTTTGCTCAGAGCTCTGCAAACTGGTAACGTCTTCCTCAAAAGCTGCCCAGCTGGTGAACCATGGAGCTTCTTGTAAATGTACGAAAATGGATAGAAGAAAACAAAGATGCCTTTGTGCCACCTGTGCGCAATAAACTTATGTAAGTAAATGAATTTTTTAACCCAGTTCTTAGATATTCTTTGCTAAAAATGCATGCATAGGAAAGGCTAGAAAGGAAGTGTAAGTTCCTCTCTAATCGCAGTCAGAGTGTCATTTCAAAAGACGGAAAATGCCTGAAATCTATTTTTTAATAAATCTGTAGAAGCTGTTAAGAATCAGCTTGAATACAAAATGTTTGCCCTGCTTTTTGTAGGCAACAGGACTGACTTCCAGGGACTTTGCTTTAGGCCCTGTGACAATAAAACCATGCTGATCAGGGCAGACAGCATCTCATCCACAAGTGCTTAAAATTTAGCTAATTGATGATGCCATATTACAAGCCATATTACAGCTGTCCAAGTTGCTGGCAGTTATTCCAGCATTACGGAGGAACCAAATATCCAGGATCAATAAAAAGTGGCAGGACATATCCTTAAAGATATAGAGAAAGGCAGGGAAGGGGTGCAAGAAGAGCACATTCTCGGGGCACTTCCAGCTCTGTCAAGGCAGGGTAGGACCCTACAGGGTCCTGCAAGGTAGGTTGGTGCAGCAATGCCTGAGATCACCTAAGAGCTAGAAACATAAGCTAACATAAGAAAAAAATTGAGGGCGTTTTTCAGATTTATAAAATGCATCTTTTCAGTGTCAAGTCCAATGAATGACTTCTGAGGTAAATTGTCCAGTGTATGGTTCCTTCCAGTCATAATATTAGCACCTTCTGGTCATAGTATTAGCAAGCATTTATCGGTGAAGTAGAGGACAACATATTTCATCCAAAACTCTATATTCCAAAGTTTTTATAAGAAAGGATTCTCACTAGAAACAATGACAACTGGGTTCCATTCTCTGATGTCAGTTTAAAAACACAAGGCAATAAAAACTGCTGCAGAGGAAGTGTCAATGTGCCTGATTCCCTTCACTAAATTCAACCTCTAATCAACACCTACATGGGCACCTCTTCTACTATAGAGGTGATGATAGTAATCTCCATTCACGGATGTCTGTGTTGCAAGACAAAAATCAGGTAAAAGACACATCCCTAGCGAGTTGCCTGCATTGAATCTACAGCTGTATATTCCAGCTGAGGAAGCATGAGACTTGCGTCACGTCCCATCATTTCACACCGGAGAGAATGAAGAACACTTTTCTTTGCAAGTGCTTCCATTTCTTTCATTTTCAGAATCGATTTTGCAAGTATTTTGTGAAGTGTAGTCATTTCAAGAGCTTACCAAAGCTAGTTGTGTACAATTTTAGCATTTTACAGTATTTTAAATAGCCATATTTTTTTCTTTATCAATAAGAGAAACCTTTTTTATTATTATTTATTACTGCACTATTCTGCCCACCTCGACCAGCACTTTTGTGCAATCCTGAAGCAAAATTCTCTGGAATATGAGACCTACCAGAGGTCAGAGGGTCACTGAAATCCCCAAACAGTCAGTATTGGCAAATCTTCCCTACAGACATTGCTACAAGGTACACTGAAATGAGAAACATTTTTAACCATGAAAATTGCATAGATTTCAAAAAGAATCAATGTCTTCAATACAGCTTTTTCCTGTGAAGAAGAGAAAAATAATTTACTATATGATTCTGAGTCTCAGCACCTGCTACTGGTGGTTTCCTTCAATTTACCAAGAAGGGACTAATAGATTTCTAACTTTTTTTTTCTTTTTCCAAAGGCTTTGGTCCTTTACGTACTGAGCACAGATGTATAATGCGATCATCGCACTGCCTTCAACATCACAGGAAGGCAACCACTCCAAAACATCCAAGTAACTTACCACCCTAAGTTTCAAAATAGATTGAACAAGCTAGGTATTACAGCAAATCAGTGCAATTTTTGGTCTACATTTGTTAGGGCTTTCAAACTTTCATTCTGTTATCCTTTATACAGTTGAGAGTGTCAAAAGTTTTAAATACATTTTAGGCATTTTATAATAAAATTGCAATTTCTGATCTCCATCTGCTTAGAATTTTACCAAAATCAAGAAACGAATACAATGTAAGAGTTGCCATTTAATTGTATTTTAATTATGTTATCTTGCAATTTTAAAAACTTACTAGAAGGGCGATAATGCAAAATCAGACACCTTGACATGGCAGATCTTCGCAGTGCAGCAATGGCACTTTTAAAGCTCTTAGCTTTCCGGAATACGATACCTATCATAAAGAGACCTCCCTGTGGTCATGAGATACAAAGATCTTCATGCTCTTGAGAGGTTTTAAAAAGGTTACCTGCTGAAAATGTTTTCTTTATATGATTAAGACAAGAAATAGCAGAGTATCTGAGAGTCCAAAATATAATCCAGTGATTAGTACCCCAATCTAAAAACAAAATCATGCAATCAAGCAATTTCCACACCCCTGAAGCCTTTAGGATACTCACCAAATTGAGTACTATTTGCCAAAATATTTAGCATATACTTCTAAAATCACAAGGAAAAAAAGCACCTTCAGTTTTCTCCCTAATGTTGACTAAACAACTTTGTTTAAGAGTATGTGTAAACAAATCCCTTGGAATTCTTGCTTGTATTTGATAGCTGGAATTTCGTAATAATAGGAATTTGTAATGATAGGAATAACTAACCCATGACTTCTCCCTAATATTTTGGTACTTCTGCCTGATATTTTGGCAAAAAAAGAATTAAGGGCAACATTTTTCTTTTTCCATTATTGAACTAATAAAATTAATCATTTAAGTTAACTTCACAGATTTCTATTACATTAATTCCTCTTAAAGGCAGGTTACAAGATACGCATATGTTATCTTTCTTCTAGTGCAGCTTTCATTTTGGTTTATATTATGAATTATTAGCCATGTTGTTATGACTTGGTTTTAGTAGAAAGGTTTCTTAATACAGAAGTATTTCATTGTATCTTTGAAAATGAAATAATAAATCTTCATAGTACAAACAGCTGTGATTTCAGTTCCTTGTTTCAGAATGTTGGCATGAAGTCAAGTGCCATAATTTTTAGTTTCCTAGAGTGAAAATGGTGAAATTAAATATTGTAATCTAATTTATTTGACCAAGGAAATGTTTGTCACTGCTATTCATTACTTTTCTTCACTAATCACTACTCAGTACCATTTAAATCAGTACTATTTAAATGCTCTTTGAGGATAGTTTGGTGTCTCTCAACAAAGGCTTACCAGGTTGGCAGGCTGGTCTTCCTTTTCTCTAGGAATCAGTACTATTTAAATGCTCTTTGAGGCAAACATTCTGCAGTTCAGAATAGTTTGGTGTCTCTCAACCAGGTTGGCAGGTTGGTCTTCCTTTTCTCTAGGGCTTTTTATGGTCATCCCCTGTGATGGAGAGCAGTGCAGCTCCACTGCTTCTGTACCACCAGGATATGTTCACCAGCGTATTGCCCAGAATCTCCTCATTGAGAAAAGTAGGAGTCAAAATCCTTCCCATTGAAGTAAGGCTGAGCAGATTTTGGATCAGAGTTAACACATCTGACTTGTAGGGCTTTTGCTATACACTGAAAATGAAAAAATGCTACCTTCTCTATCAGTGCAAGTGTCCTTGTACCCACCAGTAATCAAGGTGATGTCCAGGCTTTGTGACAGCCAAGGGAAGCGCTCGTGGCGTCTCTGAAGGGTTACCAAATTAGCAGAGGGGGCCTGAATCTCCTTTTCTCAATCAGTTACAACCATAAAGAAGACATTGTAACGTTGTTTGCCTTAGTCAAACCAATATAAATGGAAGAGAAATTAGCTGAGAAGTCCTACCATCAATACTGCTAGTAGTTCTAACAGAAAAAAAAAACATATATAACTTGACCTTTATTAGCTCAGGAAGTGCTCTCCCTCTACAAAATCCTTACCTGATCAGGTAATGTTGACAAGCCATTTTCCCATCTTTCCTGTTTCTTCTTTGTCATTAGGACCCAAAATGCTTTCCACGGTAGATGAATATCTTTATCCCCTTCTCATAGCTGGGCCCGCTGAAACATCAGTAGGGGGATAAGTGGTCTCAGGTGACCTGAAAAACACACTTAGGTCTTTTGAGTTCTCATTCCAGAGGTTGCTTGTCACTCATCATTGTTTCACTGACTTACTATCCTCAAAGCATTAAGGAAAATTAAAATAATAATAATAATAAATAAAAAAGAATACCTTGAGTGAAGGTATCTTTAAAATGTCATTTTTCTTTTCTAGGCATCGCTATCAATTGAACGTGATGTTTGTTGGGGGGCCAAATGAAAGGAAAGATTATCATATTGAAGAAGGAGAAGAGGTAACCTAGAGATCATTCACATTTTCTTGTTTTAATTGATCTGTATGATTAAAGTGTAGGTACTTCTGATGCTACAGCAACAGATTAGCAATCAGTAGCTCACTAGAGTGTTGTATTTATTACAACTATTTAAATACTTAAGCAGACCCATGCACCATCTGTGCTTTTCCTTTGAAGCAAACACTTGATGATATCGGATTTATTTTGCTATATTTTATTTTCAACAGGAAACTAGAGAAAATGTTCTGACAGCATCAAAAGGTCTCATTTTAACTTCTTGGAACAACACCTTAGAAAGGAAAGGATGCTTTCAAAATCATATTTTTGTTATAGAAGTTCTGTATTTCGAACAAGTAATTGTGAAATTCAAAAATGAAAATTGAGTATTTTGATTGGCCTGATGTTACATTGTTCTAGATTTTTTGCTCATGAAAAGATGGCAGCCTTTTTAATCCGTTTTACAGTCCTAATGAATCTCAACTTTGGTACAAAATCATGACACTTGCCATGAGATGTTTAATTTTCAAACTTGAACTT